CAGGGTCATTTTCATCCACATAACGTCACTAGTGTCGTTTCTTATGTCAACATAGCCGTTCCTTTCATCTTCAGCCATTTCTGCCATTTCCTCAGTTATAGTGACTAATGACTGAATAAAGAATAAATAAAATGAGCGTTTTTCACTGATTCATGAAAACTCTTTTTGGAACTTACGTATTGGATATTACGTTTAGTTTGTCTTAAGATCCCAGGACTTCCAAAACGAATTTAATAAAGAGCAAAAATCCCCCAAATCATGTTTTTATGAAGCTGGAACTTTTTTCTGCTCCGCTCTTTTTTCCGCTAATACTAATTTTACCACTGTATTACTGGTTGCAATCACCGCAAGAAGCAACAGAGAATAATCCGTATCCGAATCTAACACTGGGCTTTCTCTCAGCATACTTTGTTACTTCAGGGGCCGGTTGCTCGAAGCCTGGTTAGCGCTAACCGTTGGTTAAGAGGTATCAAAATGTATAGGTTTCCATGGTATTTAACGCTGGTTAGCACTAACCATGCTTCGAGCAACCCGGGCCAGCACGCCTGGCTGCCATCAAGGCCAGCCTCCTCCTCAGGCTCTTCATTTTTCGCATCGTAGAGGCGAGCACGAAACGCGAGTGACTAGTGATGAACCGCAAGGGACCATGGGAAGGGTACAGAAGGCAAGCGAAGCGCGTCTCGCCTGTTGTCTCCTTTCCGCCTTCCTTTGCGCGCACATTTTCATCGAGAGAGAGACGTCTGGGTACGAGGCAGCATCAAGGCCATTTTCATCTACATAACGTCACTATTGTCGTTACTTATGTTGACATAGCCGTTACTTTCATCCTCATCCATTTCCTCAGTTTTAGATTGTTTTTGTCTTGTAATCCGGTAAAACACAGTTGCCAGGTCCCACCCTGAAATCCTCACAGGCAAAATATTCAGAAATCCTTAGAAGCAATAAAAGACTAAACGGACCGTCAGGAAAGTTTTTGAAGCTATTGTAGCAATGAGCACCCCTTTCATACACTTTGTTCATATTTTATCAGGTTTTAAGATGTTCGGACACCACTTGTGATTGAAACTTGATGAAACTTCTATTTCCGTTTTGAAGCAGTGTAATAGTGTTTGGTTTGTAACTAGAGTGTTTTCGAAATACACGTGTTGATGAAGGAAAAACAGTTGAGAAATGTAAACTGAAGGATATTGTAACCGGGGTTTGGTTTAATTATATATATGATTCCCACTGCGGATTCTTTCAAGGAAGATCAAGTACAGCAGTTATTCAAATTCTTATTTCATTGCCGAGAGTTCAATGCAACTAGTCCAGGTTCTAGACAACAGAGGTCGAGTTGACGAAAGGCCATTGATTTCTTTAAGGTTTTTATTCTTGTTGATTGTGACATCCTTTAGATCAAGCTATGAATGGGTGTTGTTTATGGCTTATTTTTGAAATGGTGCAATCGTCAGCAGGGAAATGTTCTAATTGGGGATACCTCTCACTGGCAGACCATTTGTCCCACATGGCTTGATTTTTGAGCCCTTTATTTTTAAAAACTTATTCTCTCTATTCAGTTTCCAGGCAACGCCAGACATTTTGAGACATTTAAGCCTGCAGGGTGCACAGGACAGTTCTCGAAAGCAAAATAGCGGCAGCCTTATTGAAAGAATTGTGCATTATAGACGTTCACATCTTTTAGCATCGCGGATGACAGCAGGTAGCTCTCTATATAAAGATGGGTATAAAGTTGATCGTGATCTTACTCCCAGATATGTTAATCATTCTGTTGCAGTATTAGACAAATATCTAGCTGCAGCATGCTAAACAAGCCCCATCAGTGCAATTTGCTACTGCCCTGGAGCTCCAAAGCATACAATTAATACAAGTCGGGGTTTAGTCAAATGGCATACATTAGTTTACGGAATTACACAGATTCTATTATCATCGCGTGAATCTAAGCTTGTCACGCACAACTAAGGTCACTCACAGAGTGAACTGAAAACGCATACTTCATGAATTAGATTAAGGTACAAATTGAATAACCAAGTTACTAATGGAAAACTTTCTAAAGGAGTCATGGACTGCAATGGCTGGCTAGAGGAAAGATATTGCCTTCCGATTGTACAACATAATGGGAGAAGGTCAGTTCTAGATGTACTTTTAATCAAAGCATAAAGTTTTGCGGCATTCCATGTTGGCTTGCATTATAATTGAATCGGGAAATATATATCGAAATCATTCTGGAAGTATTATTGATAGCAAAAACCGACTGGAGGGACGATAAATGCCGTGGCTCTCGTTTTCAAACATGTGGTAAGAGACAAGAGATGATAAAAAAGAATACAAGCTAAGGTATACAGAGGTATACGTAGTTAGTGGCTTTATTTCCGTACAGCCCCAGAATTTAATACGCATACATTTTCTGACTCCGCCGAGTAGTGCATCACAAGTAATATATGGAAGGAGCGGCCGAAATTCCACAAACAGTGATCACAGTAAACAACGTCTATATCAGCTTAGAAATCGTATTCTGTAGTAAAACACCTCGTATCTTTTATCACAACAAAACAAGTTGAGAACGGCATAAATGTGATGATCGCAACAAGGGTTTCAATTAGAAATGACCCCTGGGGGTTTTCCTATTCCTCCAAATCCTGACCCTATTTCAGACCAAAATATGTCATTTTCCACACCCATGTTCAGACCCGGCCTCTAAAATCCATACCCGTTTTCAGGACTACCCCCTAAGAAATAAGGTTATCATTGCTTAAATTAGAAGGCCAACAAACGGATTTCTTAAAAGCCATTTTGAATTCGCATATTACTCTTTCTATTTTATTCATTTGGAACTGAGATGAAAAATACGTTCCTACACTCCCGTAGTTCCCTCGAAAACTAAAACCCGATTTAGACAAAAATGGGCAAAATCAATACCCGTTTTCAGACCGAAACGACGCAAAAACCATACGCTTTGGGGCGGCAGATACCTATATAGCTTATATAATCGCCCGCCCCCTCCCCTCCCCACTTCATACTTATACTCGCTCAAACGCTCAAAACAGTGTGCATTATCTGAGATGTCAAAAGGTTTATTCAGAACCTTGTAAAGCAAAATACATGTTGAGATAAGGTAAAAGTTTAAAATTCAGAAACACGGTCTGGGCTGTTATGAAAATAGATAAACTGTTCAGTATTGAAATTGAATTGAAAGCAAGCCGTCTGTGACCGACGTGAATAACTAAAGGAAAGTTACAAGACGTTCTTTATTTCGCTAAACGCAAAAGAAGTAAAACACCTCCTTACGTAAGCACTTTTCTCCCCTTTTAGCTACTTGGTCCTTGAAACTAAACCCCTAATTCTGACTTTGAATCAAATAGATTTCACTATTCGGTTAAAAATCACAAACAGGAAATTATCCAAGCTATACCAGATTGAGTTGCCTTGAGATCCCCAAAACTCCCTTATTTTCAAGATTTTCTACGTCCTTTCTTTAACCTAAGACCTCAGGTAAGGATCAGTTTGCTGTCTCATTTTGTAGAGTAATTTGGCTTCTGCTGGCAAATTAAGTCGGTAATGCATTCCGTTCTTATTATGCGCGGATTTATGCTTGGTCATGATAAATGCATACTTCCTTAATACAAGCCTGAACCTGCACATAATAATACATATTGAGTTATTTATAGAGAGGGTTTGTTGTGTTTTCTTTGCAGCTTCAGTGTCACTTGAATGAATCTACGCCAGTGCACAAAATCAATCTGTAAGGTCGAGGTATTTATCGAAATTTTTCTCAAATAAATTGGGCAGTGCCCTGAAAAAATAAAATTTATAATGCATGTAGCCAGAAGTATATAATGCTTCTGTTGTAGCACATTATATCCGCTTTTTCGGCATGCGTAAGCCGGCACAAACTCGACGTCAGTACAACAAGAGTGTCAATTGCAAATGACCCTTAGAACGAAAGCTGGCAAAGCTTGCGTTAAGCCTTTTTAATTAATGTCACTTTACAAAATGACGGTGTGGGCTATTAAGACTAGATTAATCATCGTTTCAAAAAATCATCTTATACTTTTGCTAGTGCCTTTGTCTTATTTTTGCAGTCATATTTTTCCCTTTTTATCTATCATGTTTTTATATATATATATATCATATTTATATTATTTATCTATCTACCGTTTAACAAACGAGTTATGTTCAGGCAAACTAAAAACCCTCGATCAAGAAGATTTGTGGTGGCTTGTAACGACCAGTAAAACAACAATAGACCCCACCTCTCGTGTACCTGCAGTAAGGTTGTGTTTACATCAAAAATAAGGTCTTCCATGTGAACTGCTGGCTTGATGAGTCTTAATTTCACCACGGCCAGTGTTTGGCCAAATTAGAAAGGTTTGGTTACTTGTAACATGTCGATAACTGGAACCGGATGTTCTCCATGATTTCTTACAAAGTGATCTCCGTATTCACAAGTCACACTTATTTGGCACATCTGCGAAGAACTTTCACCTGCATAATGGCACTTCCTGATTTATCGCCCAGGTTAAAAGCTCCCCTTACAGCTTATTTCTAAATCAGATCGTCCGTAAAAGTTCTTATGAACTTCTGAAACAGCTTGTAGCGGCTATTGCCACTTTGAAAAGATGATGCGCAGTAGAGTTGCGCACTGCAAAACAAGGACTGGTGAGCGGATACTAAAGCCTGTCAGTTTGAGACAATCAGTAACTAAGTTTTTCTGTCTTTTATACGCCTTTATGTTATGACCAGAAAGAAAGACCTCTTAATCTCTGATTTTGTCCTTTGAATCAGACAGATATTTCCTATATAAGCTACATTGACTGGCATTTGCCCAATTCGTGATAATGATGTCTCTCTCTCTCTCTCTCTCTCTCTCTCTCTCTCTTTCTCTCGACTTCTCTCTGAAAAAGCCATATTTGAAAGGGACCAATTCTACAAAAGTGATCTGAATTTTCTGGGAGCAAATACTTTATATTTGATTGGTTTCTTTCCCTTGTCCCTGCTTTGTT